AGTAGTGAATAGCGTCTCAGCGTTTACCCGGTGTCCACGCAGTGTGATGAGATGGCCGTTATTTACGTCACCTTTGACCTTTCGTATGTTCTTCTGTGAGAGTAAACGAAACTGAACTGGGCAAATAAGTAAGTCATTAGGAGATCGTCTGTTCAACGGATGCCTTGTTGTGAAGCGTGTGTTTTCACACGCACTTCAACGTTGCCCTTGTAACGACACATTTACTAAGACCAAATTAAATAACGGTTACAGATGAAGGACCTCACACGCGACATGTTTGTGGTGGGGTTCGAATTTTGTTTGGAAATCGTTCTGATGATTCATTATCCAGTAAAATGTCAAAAGATACGCTACGCTGCGGAAGTTTGCGATGTAAAAACTCCTCATTCTGTCACACAGGGGGCGTAACAAGGTAGACACATCAGCGTACAATCTCAGCACTTCACCGGGCAAACGGTAGGGTAAAAAAGGAAATTTCGTTTTTCTTTCAACTTGTTGAGTCAAGTGAGTCAAGGTTGACAATGTGACAATTGTCTTGTCACAAATTTGTAAGGTACTACTGAAATTCAGTCCGCAAACGTTGAGTGATGGTGACGAGACGATGTCACATGGATGATGATAATCAGCGCGATGATTGGCCACACTGTTTCCCCCAAAAGAGACACCATTTTCAAACATACACTCCCCGTACCTATGAAATTTTTATCAAGTGGCATCTAAATGATTCTCGTCCTTCAAGACCTTTACATACATATCTGGTGCAAACTTTGCAGGTTTTGATGCTGATGTAATCCCTTGAACCATTCGTCAACTGCCCTAAAAATTCCATTCAGCATTCTTGCTTGCTCATCGATATCGTTGAAACGTCAGGCGGTATCTTTCAGTAATACTATGATGTTTAAGTTTTTCTTTTGCACCAAGCCTACTCTCCGGGCGAGATGGCTCAAGTGGTTGGAGCACGTATTTGCTGACCGGAAGGTCCGTGATTTGAACCCAACCTCTGCCTTTCGACTTCCCCTGTCTAAGCTTGGGCAACCTGACAGTATCCCAGCCCTCGTGCTTCCTTCGGGTGGCATGGCAGCTAGGCACCTGATGGGTGTTACAGCTGAACGAAGCCTACTCTCCACATTAAAAAATGTAGAAAAAATTGTTCAACACATACTTCAGATGCAACCAGGTTAAAACCGAATGAATAGAAGCCGTCCAAATATAACACACGAACAATATAGGGGTTCTTACCTCTGTTCTTCGTCGATCACATGCCCTCAGTGAATCTAATTAACGTCGGGAAGTAGAGAAGAAAGCTTAAATCGGTTCTATCGAACCAAAAAACCATACGGTGTTTTGAGTCCAGCTGGAATGAGGCTTCTTCTCAATCCCCGGTCTCTTGAAACGGATGCAACGTGGGCAAACGACCGTCAGGATATCCCAACACAGACACCGAGCCCTCCTCAATCTATTGTTTCACTTGAGCACAAATTTGAAAGCATTTCACAAACTGCACTCAATTGAACACTGACTTGGTTTTTAAAGGGTGATTCAACAAAATCTCAGCTGAATCCCTGTTTCACTTGAGCACAAATTTGAAAGTATTTCACAAACTGCACTCAATTGCACACTGACTTGGTTTTTAACGGGTGATTCAACAAAATCTCAGCTGAATCCTTCGTCTATAATATTCTTCAGTTGAATATGGGGAATAAAACGCCGCCTCATTTTTTCGGATAGTTGAGATATCGCGTTATATTTTGCTAAACAAACACTGCTCATAAGTTTGATGGTCGGTCAACTCATTTTAATAGTCTCGTTTCGTTCAACTATTAAAGAACCCCGACTGTATGACCTTACTAAAGATTTTCACACTCGAGGAATTGGCAAAATATGTAAACTAACTTTTCACGTCTTACGAAATAATGGTTATGCCGACCGATTTTCGGAAAAGAATCTGAGACCTAACACACTCACAATAAGCATGCATGTAATGTGAGTTTCATCCAGAAGTGAACCTCTGAGTAGAGTTCATAAGCACATACTTCAGATTCCATCTACGCCTGACCTTTATCAATCATTCATTGTTGATACAGTTTCTTAAAATCCAAGGCATTTCCCGTCCAGGTATCCTAAGGTGTTTTTAGTGCATATTTTGTGTACATGGACCTCCTATTTCACGACCTACAAAATATGTCTTGCGTCAATCTCCTCCAAGTCTCCGCGCGTCGGTGAATTATGAGCGAAGGGAGCTCATCAATGGCGCTCAAGAATGTCTGTCATCTGTCAGTTCAACTGAAAGATCCGTGATGAGGCTTTATCGCGTGCGATGGGACGCAGGCGTTCCTGGTGAGGTATGGAGAAGGTCGATGGCTCGGGTACTCTCTCATAAGTGTCTTTTTATCCGTGATCCGTGTACATGGGTTTCTCATTTCAGAATAAGCACTAGGCAGCTGTCTTAACACAATTCGCGGACGCAAGATACGTGGAATGATATTGTGATTTACCGGGATGGCCACGCAAAACGTGCTTCCGAATGCCTTGCGCGATAGAGGTGATTACCATCCACCGAAATTGGTTCGTCAGGTTCAGCTTGACCAACATAAGTACAATCAACGCAGTTGACTGACCAATCACTGCTTCCTTTCAGTCTGTCGAGTGACCGAGAGTCATACTCCCATAGGGTGGGCAGTTCCCCGCCCACAAACGTTCGCTCAGCTTGCCTAGGAAGTGTTATATGAATTGACCGTATGTCTCTGAATACAAGTTCCAAAACTTCGCTCAACCAGGTGCGCGAACTTTCTCACCTAATATGTAAACAGGACAATGTAGAAACCCATACAGTTCATTTTATGCGCGACCATCGGTAGATTGACATTCTCATCAGTCTCTCGATCAACCTGACCTCAGACAAAAGAGGGTTGAGATAGCTGATAGATTGGAATCATTTCGTAAACCTTTCAACAGTCACAGCACTTATTCAATAAATGTGGTAATGCACGTATGATGATCGCTCATACTGTTTGATGGCCACAGAACAGTCGTATGGTAACAACAATGGACATTCAGAATTCGTGCAGCCTTTCGTTGTGGAATGACGATGGATCCGGCTGGGCGTATTCATCTACTCCAAAAAATAAAGTAATTTGTAGATGGTCTTCACCGACGCACAACTGCGTTTTGTCGATCCCCCCAGACCAGAACGCAGTTAGATTCAACCGTGCTGAAGAAAGCAGTGGACAACTACTCAGATCCTACTAATACTCACTAAGATTGATGATACTAGGCTTCGAATTATGGAGAAGCCGGTAACTTACTGGAGTTCCATATTACCACCTTTTCTCGGGTCTGAGTCATGGAGTATCGGGTTCACGTATTCCTGATACGCCATGTACTACTGTAAGCTTCGTGGAGTTTGAAAAACAAACTATATGAGATACAATTGTCTCCGTGCGAGTCGAAAAAGAAATCGGCCAACCCGATTAGTCCAACGGCAACAACAACAACAACAACAACCAAATGAGCTACGTCTTCCCATATGAGGTTCGCTTTAATCACAGCCTAATTTCATTGTTGGTGGGTAGTTCATTGAAATCGTTCAGCTGTAGAACCCTTTCGGTACCTAACTGCCATGCCATCAGAAGAAAGCACGACGGCTGAGATACTTTCAGGCTACCCAAGCCTAGGCACGGGAAGTCGAGAGGCAGAGGTCGAACCATGGATCTTCCAATCAGTAGGGTCACGCCATAACCACCGAGCCATCCTGTCTCGTATTTTATTGAGGCTAGCAACCAAAGATCTTCACGGAGTCTGATCTGTTGATCATCACTGAACTGAACACAACTCAGTGTGAGCCTCGTCCTTTGTAAACCACGGCTGAAAACTTCAAACTAGTCAAACAAGCAAATCGTATTCACCTTTGTACCTACTATGCCGTCAGTTCTACTGGGCACGATCCAATGTAATTTGTGATTCTAAGGAAGGTCACGCAAGTTGATAAATACGTTGATTTATTTAAAAAAATGAGTTGGCGTTGTGCTTTTCCATAACAGAGAACACAGTTTTTCTACGGAAGAATAAAGACAGACAAAATTTCGTCCACATAACAAAGACTGGGCTCCTTCGTTCCAGTTGGCTGTTCACATAGATTAGTAATCAATGTCGAGCATTTGAGAAGTTGAAGACGAATCTATGGGTGGATTCGGTACGCAGAAAATTCTATCTTCTCAGTGTTTAGAGGCTTGATTTGAACTGACAGACGGTTTGGATAACCTTTTGACGAGTTCCCAGAAGTTATTTTCTTTTGACATTGAATCGATATTTCCCACGAGAAAGTTGACGTTTTATGTGATTCTATCTTCCTACTGGATTGAAGACTTGATATGACCCCCTATAGGCAATAATTTATGTAAGTAGATGTCAGAAGTGCCTACCACTGGCTAGCCAAATGTGTGTTGCTANGACGTTTTAAGTGGTTCTATCTTCCTACTGGAATTGAAGACTTTATATGATCCTCTACAGGCAATAATTTATGTAAGTAGATGTCAGAAGTGCCTACCACTGGCTAGCCAAATGTGTGTTGCTAGGGCGTGATCGTATACCCAGTATCAACTGTTTGGATGTGTCCACCACTTCAATCTCGGAACGTTGTAATTGAGTCCACACGAAGGCTATCTTTTGGTTGCTAAACGTCGTTTTTTATTGTTATCTCAGATTTGGTTTGTATACTTTGTACCGTTTTGTTTTGAGTTTTGGTGGAAATTATCCTGTTGTATCCTATTAGTCTGGACATTCCGTAGTACTACTTTAGCTGATTAAAAACAAGAGGTTGTGCTGGCGGCTAATCCCTGCGGAACCTTAAACGCCCCGGCAATGAGGCGGAGATCAGGGGTCGCTCGTGCCACATCTTGTGCTTGAGTAAAGGGAGGCAGTAAGCACAATTCATACTGCAAAGTCCGTCAACTAGGCCAGGGATATTGCATATGCCTCTTATGAAAATGCCTGTGCTCTTAGTGTCGATTGCCAGTTGCTGGGCTTGACTTGTCAGGGTGAGTCTCTCGCAAAACCAAATTTGTTGCACAAATTTCGTGGAATTTAGATTCGAGTAGAACATAAGTTTGACGGTAACTATGGGACTGCGTCTTCCTGATGAACCACAAGAAGGGCGAAGCCGGTGGTGGGCTGTCGAGGAGTTTTCAGCAACCTTATGAGTAGTGCATTACAAATATATATGTATCACGATATCTCGAATATCGTAACATGAGACGTAACATGAGGCGAAACATGAGGCAGGTTGATGCAGCACATTCAGTTGCCTGTAAAATCACAAACGGGAGATTCCACTGGGTTCCAGGTGAGCCTCTCACAAAACTAAAATGGTTTGCAAATGGGTGTGCTTTGCTAAAAAGAAAGAGAGTTTGCAAGTAACCATTGCGCTGTTTAGCCTATTCCCATCGGCGAGGTTAATTTATGTGAACACTTGTCAATTTTTCAATTTGATGTATTGTGCCCACATGCTTGATCACGTGACTGAAGTGGAATGAGAAAAACTCGATTGTTTTGCTAACCATTAATTTATCTACCAAATAAACGATTTCACTATGATTCTTGGAATCCATAAATATTTATTAGAGAAACCTTATCGACCAACTACACTTGATATTAAGCACTGGGCATTTATTTCTGGAATGGTAATGTGACTGCGTTTTTGTGTTTTGCGCAAGAACATGTAACACCTGTGTTGGATGCATATTGATTTCTTGCCCAGTAACTATAGTTACGTAAATTGGAGACCAGTGTGGGTTGTTCCAAACGTCAGATCCAGGTTAGAGAGGTGTAAACTGCAGCG